AGCCCACTGACTAATGGCGGACTACTACAGTGTAAACACCGAAGGTCATTTAGCTACGTCGGCTTTAGTTACTCATTTATTTTTAAATCTACAGACTAAATCTGACTGAAAATACAACTTATCGAGTGTACTACAGCGTTCAACTATGCATCCAGCACTGGCTATTCTCTTTGTTTTCAGTGGTTGTTGCTCGAATGTTGTTTTTCTTGAACTTCTCATCAGGTGAGTTGATCTATGGAACTTGACTACCGAAACATTCAATGTTTACCCCAAAAAATACGCCCGAGATTTTATCCTACATTATTAAATTAAGTTTTAAGAGGAAATCTTTTTCAATAATGAGCAATAATAGCAAAAAGCGCTAAAAACTAGACTTTCGTATGAGTTTTGATCCCAATTTTCGTTTTGGGTTAACACTCAAAACCTTTTTTAAACAGTTAGAAACTGTTGTACTATGATAAAATACCTGTTTGAAGCGGTATTTACAATTGTACGATGATGTTTTGTTGCATTTGTGTTAGAATGTTGATTTGTCAGGCTTTTTTATAGAAAATATATGGGAAATAGCAAATGAAGGCCTAAACCTCATTTTCGAATGAAATTTTTGTTTTGCGTTAACACTTTGATTCCATTTTCATCGGTCATCTCCACTTCCAAACAAGTTAAACTTTCTGAATAACGAGATTTTAGCCTTGTAGAACAACCTTTCTTCACGAAAATAGTTTTTGAAAATACTTATTGAATACGAAAAGAATTTTCTCTTAATGCACAGACTTTATCTTTGCTAGGTAGTTTAATATTCTCACTAATGTCTCATCCTTTTACTCAATCTCAATAGATTATTATTTCATGTGGGATCCTTTTTTCTTACGTGACTCACGCCTTAATTACAGGGTAGTTAAATATACTGCCTCAAGTACTTTATTGTCGTTTAAAATCTAAATTCATACCAGTGTTTTTAATGCCTTAATAAATAATTTCTCCTATATTAGAATTGGCTTAAAGTGCCTATGAAATCTTACTCGATATTTTCAGTATTTATTCTACATGAATTGATTCCTTGAATGTTTTTAAAAGTTCATTTGGTTCAAGATATTGAGCTACGTTTGTAGAGCTCACTGGTTGTTATACAAAAAATATAAAAAATCTATTAAGTTTAGCTGTTGTATCACAGCGTGGGATAACCACAATAGAGCTTAGCGCATGCTCAAGGGCTCAAAAAGTGGGATAATGGGTTGTAAAAATTGCTATACAGTTTGATACATTTGATTTGGATTTATCTTAATTTTACGTGCTCTTGAATATTTAATAAAAATTGACCCCCCCCCCCC